GACATTTTCATTTCTCTCACAAATGTTTTGTTTCTACATATATTCTAGTATATTCATTGATTTTCTAAAGTCATATTTTTCGCAGTGAATGGTGGCTAACAGCCACTTGCCAAATAAGCTTTCACTCTGAAATATTATTAATCAGATACCTATTGTAAATTCTAATCTTGTTTAATATGCTGTATGGGAATTTTCTTATTTCAGAACACATGAGTCCTTAATTACAAATGTAGTATAATATAATACAAATACCAAGTCTTATTTTCAATCAGGTAAATCAACTTGAGAAGCAACGTAGAATAGTTATTCAGAACTTGACCTCTGTAGTCAGACAGACCAAGGTTCCAAATTCTGACTTGTTCACCTGTTTCTGTGACTGTAAGCTGTTTTTTTTTTAAGTCTTAGGATTTTAGGTTATTTAACGTTTCTAAGCCTTGATTTCCTCATTAGTTAAATGGAAATAACAATAACATGTGCGTTAGGGAAGAATTAAATAAGATATTCCATAAAAGAACACTTAATACTATGAACTTTGACAGTTTTCACCACTATTATTATTTGAGAATTTTAATTTTAGAAAGCAAAACAGCATTTTAAAATAACCAGTTTTAAGCGCTGTGATACAGTACAAAGCAGGGTAAAGAGATAGAGTTTGGTGGGGGATAAAGGAGATATTTTATGTGGAGACATTAGGAAAATCCCTTTTGAAGAGGTAATAGTTGAGCAGATATCTGGATACTAAGAAATAAATGACCAGTAAAATTGTCAGTCTTCATTGAGTAATAAATAATGTGGCTTGGGAATTCCCTGGGTCCAGTGGTTAGGACTTGGCGCTTTCACTGCCAGGGCCCAGGTTCGATCCCTGGTAGGGGAACTAAGATCCCACAAGCCCCCCGGCGTGGCCAAAATCATAATCATAGTCATAATGTGCCATATTTAGTAGATAGACTAAATATGAATATGTATAATCTATTCTTGTTTTGAAGGAATGCTTTTCTACTGATTTGCTAGTTTAGTTATTTAACATAAAGTTTAGAAACTGCTTTGACAGAATAGAAGCCTTGTCATATACAAGAAATATCTTGCTACAGAAATAAAAAAGGTATTATCAGAAATAAAGTATTGTTTTTAATTATACACCAATGAAGAGAGAAAAAGGAGAAAAAAATGGAATGGGAAAAGACAAAAAAAGAAAGACATTCTTTAGCCTTCTGCCTCAATCCATTTTAGCCCAATTCTACCCCATAGTAGCTGACCCCATATGATGACTCCTGCCAAATTAGAGTTATAAAAATGGTCCTTTATAGGTTTTATGTGTTAACTCTGTGCCAGGCACTCTGCTAAATCCTTTACATGTATCAACAAAAACATTTGATTATTTGCTTTCAGAAACTCTCTGACATAATGTTGGCTGACTCTAAAAAATGGGAAGTAAAGACACGGCATTTATGAAAGGATGTTTTTGCTGCCGGGGATGATTATCTTTGTTTTGTTTATTTGCACTCTTATCTCTTGTTGAGTTTAGTTAGCAGCATTGGGAATTGAATCTTAAGGCCAGTGTTTATGAGGGGATCTGAAAATTGTCCAGTATTATTTTTCCAGCTACGTGACCTAAAATACCTCACTTAACCTTGCTAGTACTGATTTCTCTAATATGAAAATTACATTGTTTAAATAGTTAGAACCTTAGAAACTCTCTAATATTGTTTGATCAGGATTCTGATCTTAGCTAAGGTGATCATTATGGGGTATGTGGAAAAGTGCTTATTGGTGTTTATTATTTTAAATGGAAGCAGACATATAGGAAAGTCTTAAGTATAAATACTAAAGTTCAGAAGATTAAGTAAAATTAACTTTTTTAGCCCAGCGAAACAAATCTCTCTATCTTCGCAAGAAGAATCTTGAAGTTGGAATTGGCACTAATTTGGCCAGCCTGATCAGATTATTTCAATTGGGTTTAAATTTTTGTTTCTTAATTTTAAAGAAAGGGTTTCTTATTTTTATCTTTTTTTTTTGTATGCACACAATGCGTATAGTCTTGGCTGGCCTGAAAATAAAAGTGACTCCTGGGGCGGGGGGGAAAGAATTTTAGTTCTGACTCGTGGATTTTAATATAGGACCATTCACTAAATATTATATAATTCTGGGCAATCTGGTAAGCCTTCATTCTCTATTAAATGTAATTTAAAAATTCTCACTAGCCTTTACAAATATATTTTTTAAGTAGCTCTTAATTTTTTTTAGTTAAACTAATTAGATTTACTGTTCCAAACCTTTTTACATGTATTAACATATTTAGTTCTCATAACAGCTCTATGGTGTAGAATACCATTGTTATTGTCACTTAACGTCTGAGTCTCCGTTGCTTCATTTGTAAACTTGCCCAGTGTTACATCGAGAAAGAAGCTCCTCTAGGATATAAATCCAAGAGTCCACCCTCTAAATTGGTTCTATTGGTATTGACCAGAGTACAGATTTAAAATACGGTTATTTAATCTCAGATGAATGGCTAATTATAACTTTATCTTAAATGCAGTAAACAAGCATGTTGCTAGAAGGAGCTACTTTCAGTTACGGATTGAAAAAACTTTTTTGGTTTGATTGTAGTGTGTGGAAGTAAGATGGAGTTTGAACTTACAGAGGGAAAATAATTAGATTTAACTAACTACTTTGAAAGAATAATACTAGAAACAGTTTGACATGGTGCCAGATCAGTAACACACTGTACTTTTTGCCCCCTTCCAAAAAAGATTGGACTATAATGAATACTCAATTTCTATGAAAATGTGATTTTATTTTATTTTAATGTTTTAACATGCAACAATCTTGCAAATAAAGACCATTTTTTTCACAACCTATTAACATGTTTTACCAACTGATCTTTTCCTCTTAGGTAAATAGATGCCTCCTCTTTAAATAATTTTTTTTGGCAAAAATTATAATTCACTTTAATCAACTGATAAATGCTTGTTTATAAGCATTTGTGTGCATAGATCTGAATTATGTCAGATTGATAAAGATATCTTAGTTGAATTCCAGAAGGCTCTTGTGCTTTGAATACACAGATGATATTAATGAGGAACTAACTTATAAGAGTTAGACATTTTACTGAAATGCTCTATCAAGGAAAGCAGTTTCCACCAAATCCTTAATTATCCTAATGTAAACACAGTAATAAAAGAGTTTTGTTGCTAAGTCTGTCTTTTGTAGGCAATTATTTTCCTATCAGTGGATTAGTGTGTTGTGGGGAGAAGGTAAATGCCAATGTAGAGTTGCTAGCAGCAATTTAATTAGGTTCCTTTATAAGTGATTCAAGCACTAGAGCTGTATTTTCTGTAAATTTAAATTTGCTATTAATCTCTTGGGAAGATTATCCATTCTGGGTTTGAAGGTTTTTCCTGTGCTAGAGAAACATTTAAAACAGTTTTGTTCATTGTGTTGTGTATTGATCCTCTTAGGTATTTGTGCACAGAACAAGTGAGTGAGAACAGTTTTGATTTAGAATGCTGACATGAGGGTAACATTCATATTGGTTAACGCTTAGCCATAATAGGGTGTATTATGTGCTAAGCACTGTGCTGAACACTTGGGTTTCCCTGCTGCTCAGGGCTATTGGAGAATGGGCCCCAGAAGAAGACTGACAGAAACTGGCATTGATCTCTCACTCATGATTACTTTATCATTTCTATAATAAAGTGTATAGCATACTATTAGAACGTACTGTGTTTGTGACACCAGTAGTGGCAGATTATCTTTTCATTTGTGCTGTGATTAGCCTTTCTTGGTGGAGGAGTCAAGTGTTCTCGAGTCTGGAGCACACCGGGGCTGAGTTTCATGAAATGTATTTCAAACAACATAGTAGTGCAAGGTGTTGATACATGTTAAATAGAAAAAAAAGAGATTTCTAGTTAAAAAGTGGATAATACTTGTTTAGAATTTGTTCAACCATCCTCTTTACCATAACACTTCTCAGAACTGTTAATGTGCTGATGTGCATTATGAATCTCTATATGAGGATGATATAGCATCTGGTCTTTCTCACCTCTCCCCTCCTTTTTTTTTTTTAAAAAAAAAAACCTCTTCAAAGAGAATGTTTTTGAGCCGGAAACTTTTTGGGAAAAGGTGTTCCAGACCAGAGTTTCTCAGCCTTAGCTCTGTAGACATTTGGGATCAGACATTTCTTTGTTTGGGGGCCATCCTGTGTCAGTGAAGGACGTTTATCAGCATTACCCCCCACCCAGTTGTGACAATGAAAAATGTCCCCCAGGGGCAAAATCTAGTTAAGAACTATTGCTCTAGATTAATATTGCAGTATTCCAGGAAATTATAGGATACATTAGCAATTTCTATCTGAAAGTTTCCTTTTAATGTGGAAGAAATAATAGTCTAGAAAGTGGAAGCACAGGTAGAGAAGGTTCAGTATATTCTGCTGTAATAAATGTTCTGGATCCACTTTGTACCCTGGCCTGATTTTCTTTTCTTTCTTTTTTTTTTTTTTAACATCTTTATTGGACTATAATTGCTTTACAGTGGTGTGTTAGTTTCTGCTTTATAACAAAATGAATCAGCTATACATATAAATATACATATATACACATATCTCCTCCCTCTTGCATCTCCCTGTCTCCCTCCCACCCTCCCTATCCCACCCCTCTCTAGGTGGTCACAAAGCACCGAGCTGATCTCCCTGTGCTATGTGGCTGCTTCCCACTAGCTATCTGTTTTACATTTGGTAGTGTATATATGTCCATGCCACTCTCTCACTTTGTCACAGCTTACCCTTCCCCCTCCCCATGTCCTCAAGTCCATTCCCTGGCCTGATCTTCTAATAATTATTATGTGGGGAATTTACTGCAAAAAATAATTTCAAACTTTGCAGAATATTATATGGTAGAGACTAAAAGTATATTTTCCATTAAAACACTAGCCAGATATTTAAATTGAACTGCATATGATGATACTGCACTTTACTAAAATCCATTTTTTCTTTTTTTATACAGGGCTATTTTCTTCTTTTTGAGTCCATGTTAGATTCTGTCCTTTATGCAAAGAACAAGTACTTGGCAAAAGGAGGATCGGGTGAGTATAAAATTCTAGTTTTAGTAATCTGATTTTAGTCTAGCAGAACCAAATGAACCTTTGGATTTCAAATAAACTATGCGTGACTGAGAAAGTTCCCAATAGAGATGAAAGACATTTCCATCAGAGGAAGATTTAAGACATTTGTTTAGTGTACCATTGATAGTAGAACATTATATAAGATATGCAGGACTCTTAAGTTAATGGTATTCTCATGAACACTTTTAATAAAAATACTAAGGACTAGATTTGGAAGCTTTTTGATATTCAAATAAAAATCTAACAGAGACTCTTTGATTTTTAATCTTTGTGACATTTGGGGTTTTTTTGTTTTTGTTTTTTCCCAAAAGAATGTTTTATACTAGGTTGGAGATCATTCACTTTGGTAGCAAATATTCCATGACTTCACTGAATGTATAAACCTGGCTTCTTTGTAATTTAACAAGAGCTTTTAAGTAGTGAGTGGTTTCTACTAAGTTTTTAAACCACAGTATACCCAATCAGTATTTTTAAATAGATCCCAATAAATTTGGAAGGCTTCCTTTTCATAGCCATGATGAACTTTTAATCATATTAGCTCTGCATACTCAAAGTGAGATTGTGTTTTTACAGGCTTTCTGCTATGAACAGTTGTATACAAATAAATGTTCTCAGGGATTATGTTTTGCTCGTCTTTGGCTCTTCACTGAGCTCCACAGCTTCTGGAACATAGATAGAACATCATACATGTTTTTTGCATTGAATCACTAAAACTGAATTGAATAGCATGTCTCCCTTCATTCACTTTTCCCTGTACCTTCCCTTTCTCAAAGCTTCAGAACCAGTAAATCATTTCCATGGTCAGAGTACAGTTGATAAAACTGTTATATAAAAGTGGGTGAAAAGAAGGATACATTTTGAACTGGTGACATAAAGCACTTGACCATACTTATGCCTCCTGCCCATCCATGTTCTATGAAATTACTTTGGTAGTAAAAATCAGTAAGGCCAAAACATAAAGCATAGAGAAAATTCTCCAGTACAGTTGAGTTCTTTTTATAATATCATTTAAATAGATTGCCTTTGTTTTTCAAAATACTCTCATTTTATCACTGTATATCCTGCAACCATTTCAAGATACGCTTCTGATCTCTGACGTGAACGTGGCTAGAAATTTTAGATATATTTTACCCTGCAACAATTGGCTGTATCTCTCAATAATTGCAGTGATTGTTTTTTAAAGACAACTACACTTAATGACTAAAAACTAATATTATCTACCATTTGTTGATTGTGCAATAGTTGCCAAATAATATACTGTACCTTTATTTATCTTATTACATGTAATCCTCACATGTTGTAATCCTCACAACAGCCCTGTGAGATTTTAGAAACATAGGTGTCCTGGATGGTACATATTAAGTGTCCAAGCCTTGAATTTTTTTTTTTTTCTAAACTCAGACCTGCCAGACTCCAGTATTCTTGTTCTTTTCAGTATCCCTTGTTGTTTCTTTACCAAAGTGCATTTTATTGAATCTAATTCTTGCCTTGAAGTTGTTCTAGGGAAGATTCAGAAAACTGTTTCCATACTTGCCTGAGTGGTGTTCATTGATCTTACTGAAGGACTGACAGCAACTTAATACATTTAAATTGATTTCTTGATGAAATTCATTAAGAACTTACAGCCATGTGAATGAGGTTATAGCTGAAACAGTGGCAGAGCTATTTCCTATCATCAAAGGGATAAAGTGGAGGCTTTATGCTAGCTCTTTCCATATTTTTATATAACTGCTGTTAGCACTAAGATAATCTGGAAGTATATTGAAGAGAGGTCAGCATTTAACTTCATAAGCAGTGCTGTTGAATGTTACTTGTTAAAAGAATCAAGAAAAGTAGGAAAAGTCAGAAATGAGTAACATGAAGTGGTTTAGCCTATTTTGTGTATTTGAATATATGCCTTGATGAATAAATAGCATCTAGATGCTTATTCTTTTATTGTAAACAAAGTTTTCTTTCATGTTTTTCTGAAGGAAAGATTTATTAAGCAATTAGCAGTGTCAAGATTTTAGAAAGAATGATTGAATTATGAGAGAGGGAGACTATTGGAGACTATATAAGGATGAAGGGACCACACTTTATTTTTACATGAATCCAGGTTCAGTTTATGTCTCACTTTATATTTAATGGCATGGAGTAAAGCCTTTATAAAAGACAGTCAGCCAATAACTTGAGTATTCATGCTCCTTATTACCAAGCAATTCCACAGTACTTTAGAGGTACTCATTTACTACTGTTACCACTAATAAAAATAAAGCTTTGTGGGGATTCCCTGGCAGTCCAGTGGTTAGGACTCTGTGCTTTCACTGCTGCGAGCCCAGGTTTGATCCCTAAGTCAGGGAACTAAGATCCCACAAGCCATGCGGTGCAAACCAAATAAAAAAAATTTTTTTAAGTTTTGTAAAGTTAGTGAAAGTGGATTTAATATTTTCTTCTATTATTAGCTAAGACTTACTAATTGTATGTCAGAAATTGTTGTGTTTTACATTCAGCCAACCAAGAGATCAGGAGCAAAACCAAGAAACTGTTAGGTTGAGATCAGTGCATATTTTTACAAGGAATTAAGATGAAAACCAATGTATATTTTAGGATGACAGCATAGAATGTAAATGCTTTATACCCTAAAAGTGTCAAATACCACATCTCACAAAAATTGTAATGGGAATGCAGGAGGTAGGTGGGAAAGTGTGTATACTTAAATGGATTTATCTTTTTTTTTTTTTTTTTTGCGGTACGCGGTCCTCTCACCGTTGTGGCCTCTCCCGTTGCGGAGCACAGGCTCTGGACGCGCAGGCTCAGCGGCCATGGCTCACAGGCCTACTCGCTCCGCAGCATGTGGGATCTTCCCGGACGGGGCCACGAATCCATGTCCCCTGCATCGGCAGGCAGACTCTCAACCACTGTGCCACCAGGGAAGCCCAGATTTATCTTTAATAGGAATCTGTGGGATATCATTTAAAGCTGACAACTCAAGTAATAGCATTAGAGCACATTTAGCACTACAGAGGAAATATTAAAATGATACTGTTGATTAAAATTGAATGGTGAGGCTTGTGGTCATTGATCCTGTCTGTATCATGATTGTAATGGTGATTGTTTAACTCTGTGTATTTATCTAATCACATAGGATTATACATCAGAAAGGACAGAGAGTGAGTTTTACTGCGTGTAAATTTTACCTCAATAGAGATGACTTAAAAAAAAAAAATGAGGGCTTCCCTGGTGGCGCAGGGGACACGGGTTCAAGCCCTGCTCCGGGAAGATCCCACATGCTGCAGAGCACTTGGGTCTGTGCACCACAACTACTGAGCCTGAGCTCTAGAGCCCGTGAGCCACAACTGCTGAGCCCATGAGCCACAACTTCTGAGCTCACGTGCCACAACTGCTGAAGCCCACGCACCTGGAGCCCGTGCTCCACAACAGGAGAGGCCACCGCAATGAGAAGCCCGTGCACTGCAACAAAGAATAGCCCCCTCTCGCCACAACTAGAGAAAACCCACGCACAGCAACGAAGACCCAACACAGCCAAAAATAAATAAATATTTTTTTTTAAAAAATGAAGCAGCATCTTCCACCTCCTTCAGGTCAAATGAATTATGACATAATTTGATTTCTAGATATTTTGAAAAATATATTAAAACACTGTACTAACTACCTACTTCTGTAATTGTTAGTATTATCAATACATCTCTTTTTGTAATTAAAAAATAATTGGGTGATTAAGAAGAGAAAAGGAAAGGGAAGAACAAGGAAATATACTAACTTTATCATTACTGGCAATAGGAGATTAGTAAATACTGTTAAAAATAGACAACTAAAGATATTCTATAAGGTTGTAATTATAAAGTTAGCTACTAGAACAAAAAGGCAAACTTTGTAAATTAAAGAATTAATACTTAGGAAAAAAGCAAAAAGACCATGTAGTTGAACTACTTAAAAAACAAAATAAAACAAAAACTACAGATACAGAATAATATAAAATGGTAGAGTTGTGAACAAGAAAAAGTTCTCATATCAATAATGTAAATGGACTAAATTCATTTATTAAATGAAAAAGAATTTCAGATCGGATCACAAGAGAAAACCCAATTCTGTGTGCTATATAGTGACACACCTAAAACAAAATTATATAGAAAAGTTAAACTTGGGTTAAAAAAGATATTCAGGCGGGCTTCCCTGGTGGCGCAGTGGTTGAGAGTCCGCCTGCTGATGCAGGGGACACGGGTTCGTGCCCCGGTCTGGGAGGATCCCACGTGCAGCGGAGCGGCTGGGCCCGTGAGCCATGGCCGCTGGGCCTGCGCTTCCGGAGCTTGTGCTCCACAACGGGAGAGGCCACATCAGTGAGAGGCCCGTGTACCGCAAAATTTAAAAAAAATGAAATAAAAAATAAAAAAAAGATACTCAGGCAAATAGAAAAAAAGTCATGATATTGATACCAAACAAAAGGGAATTTGGGCAAAATATCATATAATTATATGAATAGGGCTTAGCATTAAGGAGCAAAATCATGCCCATCTTCATAGCTACTGAAAAGGTTTTTTTTGTTTTGTTTTTTTGTGGTACGCGGGCCTCTCACTGTTGTGGCCTCTCCCATTGCGGAGCACAGGCTCCAGATGCGCAGGCTCAACGGCCATGGCTCACGGGCCCAGCCGCTCCGCAGCACGTGGGATCTTCCCGGACCGGGGCACGGACCCGCGTCCCCTGCATTGGCAGGTGGACTCTCAACCACTGTGCCACCAGGGAAGCCCTGAAAAGGTTTTTATATATAAAATGAATAATCTGAAAGTTTAAGAATGGAATATTTACCTAGTTAGTTTCCAAGAATCTCCCCACAAAATATCTACTAATTACAAAAGAGAAAAGAGTAAATTTCCATGTAGAAGCCTAGCAGACTCCACTTCAGTCAAGTAATCAGGGTTGACATCCTCCAGAATTGGACCAATTGAAATTGTAGGAGCACAAAG